ATATAAACTGCTTTGTTACTGAACCCCACTAGAGCTGATGGACTAAGAGTCTCTTGGATAATTACTCGAAAGATTATGTAGTGGATGTCTTTCCCTGCCGTGTCTTGCCGTTTACCTTTTAAATTTTCTCTTTTAAAGCCTACAAGGCTCCATATTGTATGACAACATGACGCAATGGTGATAACACGGGTTTAATTGTATTTTTGGTATCCAAGATTTTAAGGTCTATATAAACACATACTCTGTTGCTACTTAAAAATTGTGGATATAAAGAAAAAATGTACATAACTAATTCTGGTCTCCCCAACTGACTTTTAAGTGGAGCATAATACAAATAGAAAAATAAGAAGAGCCAAGTTGAAGCCTATAGTTTCCCATCCATCATTGATTTTCCAGTCATTTTTAAAGTTTGTTGTGCAGAAACATATTAATGGAGATAATACTGACCTTAAAGAGGCTTCTGTGAGGAAACCTTCCCACCGGGATCAATAAAGAATAGATACTTACATTTCCGTAAATCTACTGCACCAATACAGACATACAATATGTAGACCTGATTTTTTGGTAGCTGGGTCAGTGCTTTAATAATGCACTTTATGCCTTCTGGTACTGAGGGGTTTGAAGCCTTGAATACTGCCCCACTTGTGAGGTTATATAGGCCCTATGTGCAAGACCAGGGGTTTTCAAACTTTATGATGGCCTCCAAATATGATGATCTCGGTTTGAGTAAAATATAAAGGCAGTTATTTTCATGTACAGTATACAAATCCAATACATGCTGTTTAAGACAAATATAAACTTTATTTTAAAGACATTGTATAACAAAACGAAATAATTGTTTACTAAATTGAATAATTAGATTATTTTTATGTTTTATTTTATTATTTTATGTTAAAAATATTGTGGTATATATTTAATTTCTTGACCATTCTATTGAGTTGAAAAAGTATAAATATTAAATATTAGTCAACTTTGGTAAATGTGAATGTAAAAAAATGCAAGAAACATTTTGCAATGCAAGAAAAGTTTTTTTTTGTTGTTCAAAATTAACTAAATTTGACATGGAGCAAGCTAAATCTTGAACCTACGGAGAATCCCGTTTAAAAAAACAAAAAACAAACGAACCGCAAAACAGAGGAAAGTCAGCTGGCAAAAAAAGATTGTAACAGAGCTCATAATTAGAATCAACATTGGCTCGACTTCCAGAGATGGGACTGTGGGATTTGAAATGTTGTAAAACCGACGTGGAGACAGCGTTTTTATTACTCAACAGGTGAGTAAAGTATTTTATTGAACAGATAAATTGTTATATGTAGTTCTCTAACAAAGTTCATTGAATAGCATTATTTATAGTGAAGGGTCATTTCATTATGGTTGTTGTAGCGCTGTGCTGGAATTTATTTTCAAGGAAGTACCGTGTCTATTAATGGGTAAAGCTACAGTAACGTCTTTAGCTAGTCAGCTTGAGATCCTTTCCATCTAAACTGGTTATATCTCTTAATCCTATAGTGAGTGTTTTATGAGCAGTAGGATAACCATATTCATCCAAAATACAACCAAAAACAATTTTCTTTTGCAAAATCCATGCAGTTTTGTTTTTTTACCCGCTAGAGGGCCAAAAGTTACATAGTGTACCTTTAATTAATATTTTAAGCGTAAACATTAACTTTAAAAGTTACTTTTGTAAATGTATTTTTTTTCACGTACCCCTAGCCCTCTTTCGCAGTCCCCTGGGGGTCCCTGGACCCCAGTTTAAAAAACCCTAGCACTACAATATCAGCAGAGGAACATGTTCATAAAAGATTTTCAGTCAAATACTAAGCCAGCATCTCCCAATAAATCAGGCTTTCTGTGTCTGTATTTGATGAACTCGTAAACATTTTTCACCCTGAAGTACTTTCTTATCTGCATTATGTCCCTGAGCTGCAGAGGCTGCTGTATTCCATATTTTATGAGGGGTTCAAACCCTCCGCCTGCGGTAAACTCTTCATTTTTTCGCTGTCACTATATCTGGCACTGACAGTTAGATGGCTTTTGTGCTCTAACACCTTTGAAAGAAGATGAAAGCGAGGCGTCATCCCTGTGTACCAAACACCTCGGCTTCATTAATTAGTCTGATGCATCTCCCCGCTTGCACACACCGTTCAGATCTCCAAGAAAACTCGGAGTCGTGCCCCCTCGACCCTCTGCCCCCCGTCTGCAAGAGAAAAGACACAATTTATCCAATTAAAAAGATACATACCAAGGCGATTCTTGCAAAGCGCTCTGTAGTTCTGCACTGTGGGTACTTAGCAAGGCCCCATTGTACATCAGGGTCCTCAAGGGTAAAGCGGTCTGCTCCATCTCTGTGAAGGATGGCTCAAGTCTGTTTCCAGCCGAGTACCTATCGGGGCCATCACGACAACGCCTTCTCTAATGGCCTCCTGTCTAAATGAGCAGCGGTGGAGTGTGCAGCGGTGCCGCACTGACCCTGTCGCCATCCATTAGGCACAGTGCCTTTGGAAACACTGTCTGTCTGTGCCACACTCTCATTTGTGGCACCGCAGTACCATGTTCATCCCCAGATGGAAGCTGCCGTTTTGTAATAAGTAAAGAGTGCTGGGACTGGCTTGGATGTGTACTGGAAGAATGACTTTGGACCTCCAGGGACAGGTCTAATCAGGCTTCTGACTGAGAGAACTAGCAGACAGCACAGTGATTTTGGGCCTGCATCTGCAGCACATTAGCGTAACGCCAACATGAGGCGTGTGCTGAGCTTCCACACAGATAGCCAACTGGGATTTCTGGGTTGCCACGTTGAGTAGTTCCTTTGATAACGGACATAAATTATAAAACAGTTATTGGAGAAATTATTACAGACAGCACTTGATCATCATAAAATTCATTTACATCAGACAAGGTACCATGTGTATATCCAAATGGTACATGATTTACAAATCCCAATAGCCTGATCTCATTAGGCATGTTTACACATGCAGGAGTGTTTACACATACATTTTATATGCTGAAACAGACAATATAGATGTATTGGATGTAAAAGGTAAACACGGTTTATGATTCAGTAATGATTAAATGATGATAGAATCTATTCATTTGAACATTTTAGTTTTGGATAAAGTGATGGAATCCTTTGAAACGGGTTGAATCCGGCACCTGATAATCACATGGAAGAATGAAACCTTTATGTCAAATAAGGTAAGTGTGTTAAATACATGGGATGAAGCTCAACATATTTAATTACATTAAAATCCACTATTTATTCCATTAATTCAATATTCTATTAACCAAAAAGGATTTGTATACATTTGTGGATCATGTTAAATGCGGTAACACTTTACTTAAAGCCTTAATGCCTAATGCATTATAAAGGTATTCATAATGTAGCCTACATTATAAAGCATTACATCTTTTCATAAATAATTGTAACCAAAGTTAAATGCATTATAATATTTGCTGATTTCCATCTGAAACTGGTTGTTTGTTGTGTTTTAATGCATTATATTTTCTTATTATTCATGCGATCATACAATGCATTATAAGGTGCATAATTAATGCGCTAAAATTTAAGCGAAAACAGAAAATATCAAAATAAAATCTAATTTAAAATATTAACAATATAGTTACTATAGGTAAATAATAGTAAATATTAACAATAGTTATTAACAATAACTATATAATATATCAATGATATTCAAGTGCTTCAAACAAAAATCTCTTAAAGATTTGATGTCACTAACCTGGAAAATGTTGGAAGATTCAGAGATTTCCACTTTGTTTCCAATCAGGCTGATAAAAAAACCTCTGTGCACTTAATCAGGGAAGTACATATCAGCTGCTCAGATTAGAGCTTGCCAGATGAGAAAGTACTTTCCAGCTTTGTCTGCAATATGCATTAAACAGTCAGTGAACGCACTGTGTGGTCGGCAAGATTGCCATCTGAAGCTGAGACTACAATTACACAGTAAAGTAATTGCGACCCCAAAAGACTTTTGTTTTTGTCAAACAACGGGGAAGCCTATATATATTGTACAGAGTTCATTGCTTTAAAAACTGTACTTTCAGATGCAGTGCAGAACCACGTTACACATAAGTGTGAAAATAAGCAACCTATTAATACTGATGACAAAAAGAAAATGCGTCACTTAGACCTGTTTCACACCTCTGCAGCATTTAATTATTGAACCCACCCACACCAGCTCTTGGCTTGACATTGGTTGACCCTCTTGATAATAGCATAATTATAACCTGGAATTTCAGCTACACAAAGCTTAGTTCATTTAGAGCACACATCACACATCAGGGAAACGGACTCAGCGAGTCTGTGTGTTTGCTTTCCCTCAGTTGTAAACAGCCATTCTGGCCTAGATAAGGAGGCCGAAGGTAATGGAGAGAAAATCCTTTTAGAACTCGTCATGCTCTGTACAGCGTCTAGATTAGGATTTCTGCTTATAATCCTAATGAAAATCAGTGTTGGAAATGACTTTCTTAATCAGCTAATACGGTGGCCTGTGCCAGCTTCTTTAGTTTGCCCAACAGCTCATGTTATCTTGAACACCTAGTTTGTTTACAGCTTTCCAAATGTAATTGAGACCACACCAACTGACTGGTAGTGGCCTTGAAAGGGGAAATCCTATCATGTTATGAAGCGCTCAGTAAAACTGGGTTTGAATATCAGCAGGGAGCTGCTAATCATTACTGGTGTTTGGTTTTTCCCAAACTTCGATCCTAACTTTCACAGGTTCGGAAAGCAACAGAAAGAATGACCTACTTTGGAAACTGTGGGCCATTATGCACTCTAAAAGTAGCCGACATTAAAAAAATTATTTCAAATGTCTTCCATTTTCTCTAGCACACCGCAAAGTACACAGAAGTAATAAGGGGTCAGCCATTTTCTTGAGTGTGAGTCATTAGAGTTGTTTTTCCGAGTGTGGCTTGATGCGTTTCAGTAGTCAAAATAATCCTTTTCATTGGAAGGATTCAAGTATAGACGAAATTCCCTTGAAAAAAGTTGTATTGTCCAAAAACAGACATTCACATTGCAGAGGGCATTTTTAAATACATAAAAATTGACTGCAATACATTCTCTCTTTCATGCAAAACTCCACAGAAAAAGCAATAAACTAAAACTCTAATATGTTCACCTTATTTAGGGACTTGAAATGCGGTTTGTCCAGTGTTATGTCAGGATCGCAGTGCATATAATGACACAAATAGTGTGTTTATCTCTTAATTGGTGGGATGAGAACCACCCCCTCTATTCTGCTGGCCTGTCTCTGCAAGTCCACTCTCATATTTTGCCTCAACCCGTCCAGCTGCCATTGCAGAACAGCCTCCCTCTCCCTCAGCTCGCCCAGAGCCGTCGATGCCTGGAGCTTCCCAGCTGTCACTGCCAGGCCAGGCTCTCCGTTGTGGAATCTGTGAGGTGGCTTTGAGGGCTGTGGATCTTGGAGACATGGCAAAAAGCCACTTGATGTGATTGCGGAGGTGTTAGGAAGATGTAGACCCTCTAGATAACCTGCAACCTTCTTCTCCACCTCCATTCTCTGCCTATCTGAGAGCCAAGAAGCCCCCTGACGTCCCCCCTAATGAGAACGAGAGCTTGCTAAGACTGATGATCTCAACAGACTGGAATACTGATCAAACATCAAAAAGATACTAATATCAAAAAGAAAGGTATTGCAGTAGCCCAGATGATCAAGTACGTGGGAGTATAAATGTCAGTGTATATCTTTTGCATCACAAGGAATGTGTTTAGAATTGATGTGAAGAAAATTCAGTCTCAGACATTCAAAATAAGACCGCAGCCATAGCAGGCGGTCATTTATCATTACAGGTTAGATCTGTGGTTGGAACCACAGCACAAAGACCACCTAATTATCCGTCGGACCTACCATATTGGATTTTCATACAATGAAGTGTAATTTATTCAGGCAATAAAAGAATGCAATGATGAGATGACCTAGTTTTTATAATTCTTTTAGCTCTATCCTCCCTCATTATCGGGATATTAACACCTCTGAAGTCTGCTGGTAGAACCTTTGAACAGGTAATGTTCAAAACACGATGTTCCACATGCACAGAACAAATCATTTTCCTTGGTGAATTGGAAGCTATGAAAACCCAAAGAAAAGTAGTAATAATACTAATAAATATATATAATAATAGGTCCTTAATCAATGACATAAATAGCACAACAATATTAATTCATCACTATTTTTATTACAATTTTGTCACTATTTTTTTGTGTATTGTTGGGACGGATAGATAAATAAAGGATGATGTGATAAACACATCAATGTGTGACTGAGTTTAATATCAATCTTAAAACTGAGACTGTCAACATCTCAGGCACCAAAACTGACAAAAGCTTGAATTTTAAAACTTCATGAACTTGCAGTAAAAAACTGGCCTTATTATAAGTTGAAGCCTTCCCGACGGCACTTATGCAGGTCTGACGGGTCATTACCTGTGAGGTGAGTGTGAGAGTGGACTGCTCTATTCTTCTGGCTCTCAGGTCTGTCTGCAGCCTTAGCAGCATCTTGTCAAGTCGTCTGACTGCTCTCCTGGTCTTGTTGCTGTGAGGACACCTCACCGTGACAGCCCGCTCCCCAGGTGGACAGTCGGCAGGCTCCACCTCGGACACATCGGCGAGGGAGCTGTCGATCACGGTGTCCTGCACGGAGACAATGGCATGAGAGCAACATGTCTGTCAGGAAACACTTCTGCGTCAATTGAGATGCACTGTTAAAAAAAAACCCATGCCAGATCAGTTAGTTCTGCTAAAAGAAATATATCTCTTTGGATTCATTAACTAAAAAGCTATCAGAGGGCTTTGTTTGCTGCAGGTTCTCATTTACAACCAAAACATGCTTACTGTGTAGTTTTTATTCATCAGGTTTCTCTTTAATGTGCAATCAACCACAATTCAACTCGGTTTTTTACATTTTTTTGAAGAAAATGAGGGGTGCTGCTGCTTAGACATGCAAATGGCTAAAAGATCTGTACTGTAGTTTCTGTATTTTGACTAGGGTGTCATAATATTGGAAAAAGAGCCCTAAAAGCTTATAATCAAACTAAATCTGTAATCACTGGCTTCTGGCAACGGTCTGCGCGTTTTAAAGAAAAATGTTCAAGGATTTCGATATAAGAGAAGAGGACCTACGTCGGGTCAGAGGTTACCCTTCCACCGGAACTCGACTCTCTTGTGAATGGGCATACGGTCATTTGCCGGAAGCAAAACATTGCATGTTTTACCAGTAAGACCAAACTAATAGTAAAACATACCAGACAGACACTCTTGTGATTGGCTGTGATTTTTGATTGATTTTGTCATGTATGGACAGACTAATTGCATGTCGCATTACATCTGGTTAGGCCATGGTGTTATTGCGAATGGGCCTTAAGGAGTTTAGAATAAACTAAAAACCCTATGTATGAGCAAAAATAACAGCAAGCACGACTGATTGTTTACTTGTTAAAACAGTTCTGCTACAACATGCCCCAACATACAAAATACAGAATAACCGTCAAAGTGTTCTCCAGTTTTCTCAAAGTCAGATTTTGTGCGAGAACCTCCAAAGAAAATCGATTCTCTAAGAACCTGTGCTATTCAACAGCGGCTCAACCAATAGCTGAAGCTTAAGACCTGCTTCCATCACTCTTGTGTGAACAGTGACAAAACAATCCTGCCCAAATACCACTCCATCCCAAAAATGTTTGCCTTTCATCAAGGACTATAGATTTCCCATTGACGCGGTGGGCATGCTATTTGATTTCCATTCCTTTTCTTCCTGTTCTTTGGACCGGGGAACTTTTGTCTGCGTTTTAAAAGTCTAGATTGAATTTCTTACTAAAAGGAACCAAAAATTGGATTAACAAGGTTTAATGTATTTCTACAACTCAATTAGATAGTGGTTATTGTAATTCAATGAAACCTCTCAATGTGCTTTATTCTGATTGTGTGACTTTTATCGACTTCTATTGAGGTTCAACATAACAGAATTGTAAGAGAAAAGTAATCATTTCAATAGTCTGATGTGCTGGAAGTGGGAAAACAAAAGCCCTCCACCATTTGTCCAACTCAAAGACACCCATGAGCTCACCACTCTTACTGAATAGCAGTTAAAACATCCCTTTTTACTTCAAAATGCACACTGAGAGTGAAAAATGAAACCCCTGCCAAGTGCTCAGGACCCACTCCTGCTAGACTTCTTTACAACTTCATTTCAAATTGGAGAGGAGCCAGCGTGAGTGAGGGCTCTTGTCTGCCAGATTCAGAGTCCTGGAGCACCAGTGCATCACTGTGAGTGACAACTCAAAGCTGGACAAGGTTACTGCGGGAAGACCGCCAGTCTGGCTCTCGAACAACACTGGGGTAATATACATATTAGATTTTGCGTCATTGGTAACAACTTTTCAGAGTAAGCTAATTTGGTTGTGTTGAAAAACTCCCACATCTTTCTCAATGAACTAGCCATGCATAAATACCTGGGGTTGAACAGCGATGTGACAGCGTGAACAAACAGAATTTCAGATAAAGGAGTGCGAGTTTGAAACTCAAATTCATTCCTGCATGGAACAAAGCACATACCATCCAGCACCAGAATAAAGGCTCATGGAGTTTCCATTCCAGATACACCTCCAGAATTCCATTCAGCGCTTGTATCCGCTCCAGCTCCTGAAATAAAATGTAACAAGAAATCCTGATTTCACGCAGGGTAGCACTGTTGTTTTTAAAACAATAAAACCACAGTGGTTCTACAGTGCAAGTACAGTTTTGTGCACACTTGGCAGCCGCTTTGATCTGTACTCAGGGGCAATTTTTTCCCTGTAGGAGCTCGGCTAATACCTCACATCTCTGCAGTTAGACAGAAGCGCTCAAGGGACTTTAGGCTGATAACTCCTCTCGGCACCCCACACAGGCTGAAGGGCAATGGGGAGGGAGAGATCCCTGAGCTGCCCACCATGACTTACACGGCTTGAGAAGAGAGATCTATTAGCCTGTGTCTGAACACATCCCACATTGTATAGTTCACACACTCAGACGAAGGTCTAGAATATCTATTATTTAGAAGCAAGACCCCCCAAAAAAGAATTGAACACTGGTAATACATCTAATATAATAGTGATGTCATTAAGTTGACCAATGATGTTTTCAGTATGCAAATTTCATGCCTGCTACAAGTGTTACTATTTGTAAGTAAGGCAGTACATAACACCCTTAACCAGGTGCAACATGGCACTATTTCAGGGAAGAGATTTGTTTCTTTACACTGAACCTGGGTTTGCTGTGCAATTACACAAAAACAATTTAATTCGCTTAATAACTTTTTATTAAATTGGTTTTATTAAAATTAGTTGCATTAATTTGATCAAAAATACAGTCAAAATAGTTATATTGTGCAATACTTTTACAATTTAAAAAACACATTATTTCTGTCTCAGTCTTTAGAGTCACATAATCCTTCAGAAATTATTATATTTTGCTGATTTGGTGCTCAAGAACATTTCTTATTATCAATGTTGAAAAAAGTTTGTGCTGCTTACTATTTTTGTGGAAAATTGATAAATGGATAACTATTGCTGTGTATTATTACATTTTAATGGGTTCTCATGAATAAAAACATAATTCATCCAGTTCATGTAGCAAATAACTGGAAAAAAATGCAATGATTGGGTTTACTGTATTATAATTCTTGCACTACACATTTTTGCCTCTACTTGCTATAATGGCTGTTCGAAATAAACCATCCTCTGATTAGGAAAAAATTATTCCAAAACCTAGGTAGCAGCATTTAAAAAAAAAAAAAAAAAAAAAACTCACAATGTCTCTTTTTCTCATCTTTCACTCACTTTCTCTATATCCCACTCATCCTTTTTCACTCTTTTTTAAGGCACTCTAAACAACCTACCTGACAAAAACAGCCCCTTCGTTAGATGTCAGGAGGGAGACTTTTTCACTGAGATAAAATACTCTTAAAAAGCCTCTAAAGAGCAATGGAAAAGGAAGGGAACAGAAGAGCGTAGGCCTTTTGACTTTAAAGATCAAGATCCACACTCTTCAAACAAGCAGGGTTTCCCACCTTGTCAATCTGTCACACCAAAGAACAGGGCGGCACATAGAGGTGGATGCTTCATTACAGCCTTCTCCAGAATAAGCCAGGGGATGAAAAACACATTGACAGCTGCGTGCAATCATTCGCCGATTGAAATGAGCTTGTTACCTAGCTTACGGCAGTTATTATCAAGCGCTGATCACCATATGCTCTGATGACGGATAGAAGCACTTAACATACACCAAAGGAATACAAATGCGATGAGAAATCTCTGGAGAGAATCTAATATAGTAAAAGTGTCACTTGTCATGTAATAACAATGATTAGGGGCTGAACTCATAACACTTGCCTAGTGTTTAATGCAGAAATCCTAAGACCTACATGATCTCATGCCAATATTTCATTAAAATGTTCCAGTGTTTTCATGTCACCTTGTCAAGTGCACTTGATGTCGTGTTGCTGTGATGGGAACCAGTGAAATGAGGCTGACAAGCAGCAGAGGGGCTGATATTGGAGATAACCTAGAGAAAGCAATCACAGGATATTATTTCATTTCTGCATTTACATCCAAATATGCTGTTTTCATCATAGTTTTTTTAGGCTATTATGTGTCGAGTGACTTGCCCTATGAGTGAACTTAGACCCCTCTTCCTGGGCTGAAAGTAAGCTCTTCCACTGGAGCCTCAGTTTCCCATATTGCCACTGCAGTGCCTGTAGTACCTGATCCGTCTTTACTGTGGCATCCTCTCCTGGTCCACATGTCACAACGTCATCCTGTCCATGTGTTAGACCTTGGGGGATCTTACATGTCCACAAACATATTAGGAAAAATCATTACAATAGCTTTCAAGAATCATTTTATTAGTGCTGAAACAACACCTAGAGGCAAAAAGAACAAATCCTACAACACAAAAATAAAGATAAAGAAAATCTTCCGTAGATTAAAGGTTTTATGATATAACCTCAGGGGAGACATGAACCCCAAGCTGGTTTCAGGGGGAGATTTTGCTTTTGCTTTGTTAAACCCATAAAGCAAAGAAATCACAACTTAGGGCTGTTGAAAGAAGAAAAAAATAAAAATAATAATATATATTATTTTATTATTTTTTCTTTCTTTTTATGTTGTTGTAATTAACAGCTTAAAATATTATTTTAAATTCTTTTAAAGTGTTGCTTTCAGCAATTGTTTGGATGACGATCATAGCAGTATAAAATAAAACTGTAAAAATACAGTAAAATAGTAATATTGTGAAATGATTACAATTCAAAATAACCTTACTATTTTAACATGTTTTAAATGCAATGTATTCCTGTGATGGCAAAGGTGAATTTATGGCATTATTAATGCAGTCTTCAGTGTCACATGATCATCCAGAAATCATTTTAATATTCTGATTTCGTGCTCAATGCTAATATGCTGATTTATGTGCACATATATAAAGACACCATACAGATGTAGATGAATGCAGCACTTGTTTTAAGAACAATACAACACTGAGTGCAACACTCCTTTTCCCCCATAAAATGTCTAAATGCTGGTATCAAATAACAGATCTTGATTTTTTTAACCAGTTCGCTTCTTTTTATATATATATACACTCACCGGCCACTTTATTAGGTACCCCATGCTAGTAACGGGTTGGACCCCCTTTTGCCTTCAGAACTGCCTCAATTCTTCGTGGCATAGATTCAACAAGGTGCTGGAAGCATTCCTCAGGGAGTTTGGTCCATATTGACATGATGGCATCACACAGTTGCCGCAGATTTGTCGGCTGCACATCCATGATGCGAATCTCCCGTTCCACCACATCCCAAAGATGCTCTATTGGGTTGAGATCTGGTGACTGTGGAGGCCATTTTAGTACAGTGAACTCATTGTCATGTTCAAGAAACCAATTTGAAATGATTAGAGCTTTGTGACATGGTGGAAGTAGCCATCAGAGGATGGGTACATGGTGGCCATAAAGGGATGGACATGGTCAGAAACAATGCTCAGGTAGGCCGTGGCATTTAAACGATGCCCAATTGGCACTAAGGGGCCTAAAGTGTGCCAGGAAAACATCCCCCACACCATTACACCACCACCACCAGCCTGCACAGTTGGAACAAGGCATGATGGTTCCATGTTCTCATTCTGTTTACGCCAAATTCTGACTCTAACATCTGAATGTCTCAACAGAAATCGAGACTCATCAGACCAGGCAACATTTTTCCAGTCTTCAACTGTTCAATTTTGGTGAGCTCTTGCAAATTGTAGCCTCTTTTTCCTATTTGTAGTGGAGATGAGTGGTACCCGGTGGAGTCTTCTGCTGTTGTAGCCCATCCGCCTCAAGGTTGTGCGTGTTGTGGCTTCACAAATGCTTTGCTGCATACCTCGGTTGTAACGAGTGGTTATTTGTCACTGTTGCCCTTCTATCAGCTCGAACCAGTCTGGCCATTCTCCTCTGACCTCTGGCATCAACAAGGCATTTCCGCCCACAGAACTGCCGCTCACTGGATGTTTTTTCTTTTTCGGACCATTCTCTGTAAACCCTAGAGATGGTTGTGCGTGAAAATCCCAGTAGATTAGCAGTTTCTGAAATACTCAGACCAGCCCTTCTGGCACCAACAATCATGCCACGTTCAAAGTCACTCAAATCACCTTTCTTCCCCATACTGATGCTCGGTTTGAACTGCAGGAGATTGTCTTGACCATGTCTACATGCCTAAATGCACTGAGTTGCCGCCATGTGATTGGCTGCTTAGAAATTAAGTGTTAACGAGCAGTTGGACAGGTGTACCTAATAAAGTGGCCGGTGAGTGTATATATATATATATGTCATGGACATTTTATTAAACTGATGATACTTATATACAGTATGCTAATAAAAACTAGAATTAGAAAGAACACATTTCTGGTTTACTGTAATGACTATTAATAATAATTAACAACTAATAAATGAGTGGAAAAACCTCAGGAACAGATCAGGGTGTTCTGGGTGGTTGCTAGCTAACTAACTTACAAGACAAAAGAGCAAACCTTTAAGTCTCTGATATTCTGGTTCGTAAATATGACTTTGGCCAGTACTTTTTAAAAGTGAGGCTGTCGTTTTTTTTTTTTTTTTTTTTATCATCAACCAGGTGACAATCAAATCAGAAATGCTTCGAATCATAACAGCACACGTCTCCTCAACACGACATACCATTTGTGGTATGTATCACTCATGGCTGTAGCACAAACCGTGTGGGTTGAGTTACAGGCTGATGTATACTTAAGGTTAATATAATGAAACCCAGGTATGAGCAATAGTGATGCTTGACTTAGCAAGCACCACTGAAACAGATGAAACTGACACTTAGAAAGTCTCCATTAGATTAAAGTTTTAGGACTTAACCAATTAGACTTTTAAAAAGAGTGAAACAGCTTTAAAATTGATCCTAAAAGCAAACAAGATTTTATGCATTGTGTTCCATTCATGATTGCTTTTTATTAGAAAGTCAATTAGATTAGTCAACCAAGAGCAAACGGAACCACAAGTTAATTGTTTAGTGTCTCAGTCTTGTGTAATGTTCTTAGGAGGCCGCTGATATGATTTCAATAACAACACTGTAGTTTTTATTAAAGAATAACAGGTCGAAATTCAATGTCCTGTCTGTGTGCATCACTGTGCATAAAATGCAGTGTTAATCTGCCCTCTGCTGGCCTTATATAGAATAACACTTGATATACTAACTTGACAACTGTTCATTTACAAAATCCTATTGTTTAGCATCAAGAGAAAAGCAACTGTTAAAATTAGTCATCTCTCCCTTGATTAGATCAACAAAACTCAAGGTCTCACCATTGGTGCAGATGAGAGCATGTCTAACTGATGAAGCTTCTCTGCCAGCAGGAAGTCCAACAGATTCCCAGATGACAGCACCCAGCCGAACGCCAGGAGCAGATCTCGGCTCCCCACCTCGTCTATGTGACTGGGGGGCCGGGGCCCCAACACCCACGGCGCCCCATAGCCACAGTGGCACAGAGCACTCCTCACAAACAGCAGCTGCATGTCTGCAAACACAACACTGTTGGTTGTACAAACAATAATGAATAACACATGGACTGCATTTATGGGCAATGATAAATTTTACCAAAGTCTTTAGAGTCCTGGCAGTGGCACGAACAATCCAGTGCAAAGGCTCTCTGCAGAAGCCTACATAACAAACTCCACATGTCCCGTGCCTGAAAGCAAAGCCTATTTATGAGCACACTAAGCAAGGTTTATCTAGTTAACGATGACTTATCTATCAAATGATCCTAAATCAAATTAAAGAGAGGGAGGGGAAGGCAGAAAGAAGTGGTAACGTTAACTTACCATAGTACAATAAGGGTATCAGATGGTTACATTTCAATATATAACGTTATATATATTATAATTACATGATGTTACCATCTGTATAACTAACACACACACACACACACACACACACACACACACACACACACACACACACACACGCATGGTATTACTCTAGTGAATACATTATTTTAACTGCCTATGTTAGACAAGTCAAGCACTTTGGCAGGAAATAAAAGAAATAGCCACCCGTGTAGCTAACTTAGATCTTACCGAATCTTCTCTATTGAATTTGGCTCTCCTGAAAGCCTCGGCTGTCGGGATCGACTCGACGCTTAACCCAGACAGTAGTTTGCAGAGAGAAGTGATTACTTCTTTCACTTTAACACTCTTTTCGCGCTGCATTTTTCTTCGTGTAGTATGTTGACAACCTTGACGGTCGTTAGGCAACAGCCACTTCCTAGTTGGGTGATTTTAGGCCGTTTTGATTAGTTGCTGTTTTGGCGCGCTTCATGATTGACGTGAATCCTGACCAATAGGAATTGTAGGCAGCCCACCACGATGACGTCTGCATTAAAAATGCAGAAATACTGCAAAACTCTTGATTTTGTATATTTCATTCATATATGATACCATTGCTATATATTTAAAATGTAGAAATGAATTCTCAAAGGATCTAAAGTAAAGGGAACAGCGTTTCGTCATATTTTGTGATTATGTAACGTTTATGATAACGGAGTATTGAACTGAAAACACAATAATACGTCACACAATAATACAATAAGCACTATAATAATCATAATGAAAGGTCTATGGGTAAAGTCATAAGTGTACAACTTTACTTCTTAAGAACTTTACTGCCCCCTTCTCTTAAAGGCTTGTCGTTTTCTAAATGAAAAGAAATTGAATGCTAGGGCCTATATAATATTAATGATGATAATGTAATATATAATAATATGAATTGAAAAGATAACAATATAACTTTTGCGCAGAGGACAAAATAGTTTATTTTTTCTTGTGAAACAGTAAACAAAAACAGTTAACATGTAGAGGGGTCAAAAATGTTAAAACATGCTTAAAATTGTAAATATAAAATTGAAATCACATTAATAAAATTGTTATCAGAAACCGAAGTCAGATAACTTTTTAATTACAGAATTAATTATGGTGCCTTTATTTGGCCACAAGACATGCTACAAAGTGTTTAATTGCTCTCATTGTGCAACTTGCTTTAAGTACCATTATTCAATGTAATGTGTTAACAATACACTTGGTAATGAAACTGTATGACAACAGAATAACTGCCTATTAATTAGGAGTTTTGCTTACAGTAAATTATTACAAAAATGGTCATTTTTAATAATAAACATTAATGAATATAAATGAATAGATAGGGGCCTACATTGAATTTTTCTAATAGAGACTAAGGTATAGCACCACTAAAGAGGTTATAGTCTCTGTCATACCCTTGATGGTATCCATCCAGTTTTGTACTTGCTTTAATATCACTGGCTTGTATTTTACTGTTACAATTTAGCATTGGTCACCCTGAAAAGCACAACGTCAAAAAGTTTAGTCATTAACTTTCTTAACTTTTAATATGTCCTTCATGTGGTAACATGAATTAACTGGTAATTCAAGTCAAAAATATTATTAAATATGACTGAATTAAATTAATAAAGTGATTTTTAAGGGTTAGATCAAGTAGAAAAAATTATTTGAGGTAACAATGACATGCATCAATTCTTATTACAGTGTAAGTAATTAGCACCATCCTATATATGTCCTTCTGCACAACCCATAAATTATGATTGTGTATCTCTGCTTGTGCTGAGGCTAACAAAACGCGGTTCAAGTGTGTGCTTTTCAAATCTATTCAAATAGTGTTAAAGCTCAAGAAAACGGATTTAGCTTTTTATCTTTACTTTTAATAAATACACCTAAAAATGCAAATATTGCACAGACTTTTAAAAGTAAAAATGCTGGTGTTTGAACAATAAAAATGCGTAAGAAATTGCATTAACTCTCTCCTTCAGCTTCCTCCTCTTCTTGTTTGATGACAGGGTTCCCTAAAAATGAAAATGACGAGGAATCCATTTTTTGCAACCATGGCCTTATTAACATATGAATTTTTTTTTTCATGTCATCACAAATATGACACTTACCATCTAGCTTTTTAAGTTTGGGAAGCCTCTTGGTAGCCTCCTCTAACCAGTTGCCATCAGCGGCATACTTTTCTTCTAATGGGTTCCCCACAAAGACGAGGTCCACCAATGATGGAAGATCTGCCATCTTCAGAAACTCCCCTAAGGAACAAACAGCCTCATAAACTCATCATCCTGGATACTTCACCCAAAAACGAAAATTCTGTCATCATTTACTCACCCTCAAGTTGTTCCAAACCTGTATGAATTTCTTTCTTCTGCTGAACACAAAAGCAGATATTTTGAAAAATGTCGGACTCGGTAACCTGACAATTGATGGCCCCCATTGACTCCATAGTATTTTTTTCCCCCTCACTATGGAAGGCAATGGGGTCCATCAACTGTTTGGTTAACCATATTCAGAATATCTTATTTTGTGTTCAGCAGAAGAAAGAAATTCATACAGGTTTGGAACAACTTGAGGGTGAGTAAATGATGACAGAATTTTCATTTTTGGGTGAACTATCCCTTTAAGTACCATGACTAAGCTGCTATCAGACTCCCAGGTGAGTCTATTTTCAATGCTCACCCCACTCCTTGACCAAGTTGTTGGACATGTATAACACTTTGAGTTTTTTCATGACGTGAATTCCCTTCAGCTTTTCTATGAGGTTATAAGAGATCCACAGCTCCTCCAGAGTATCACCTACTGCCTCCTGTGGGGGACAGAAGAGCTGTGTGAATTATCTCTGAATTCGTCAAGCTATCATTAATGTTCTGTTCCTTTACTTACAAGTCCATTAAGGTTTTTGATGTAATTCCGCCCCAAGGACAATATCTTAAGGTTCTCTGGGAGAGAAATGTAAATAAACTGTTATGCAATCATGACGAATGCAGTTGACAGCTTTGTATCTGAAGGGAGTACTTACTTAGACCATTCAAATTGGCAATTTTTTCAATACAGTTTGTAGACAGGGATAATCTCCTAGGCAGGACAGAATTTGCAATGAAGATATTTTAGGGAGTTATTATATGACACACATGGAAGATGGTTTAAGAGAAAATACACAAAAAATTGGAGTTGTATATTTAGACTCACTCGCAGTTGCTAAGATTAGAGAGAGATGCGTCCATTTTTTCAACGGGAGGGATCTGACCATAAAGCTTTACTGCCGTGGCCTCGCTCGCTTTTTCGCCTGTTTTCTCCTCCTTGTAACAACCAAGTGAAATCAATAAAAATAATTAATAGTACACAGAAATAACCTACAGTTTATACTAGGAATGTCTAATGGGTTTAAAGGGATAGTTCACCCTAAAATAAAAATTCTGTCATTATCACTCACCCTCATGTCGTTCCAAACCCGTAAGACTTTCGTTCATCTTTGGAACACAAATGAAGATCTTTTTGATGAAATCTGAGAGGTTCTGACCCTCCATAGACAGCTACGCAACTACCACCAAGTTCATTTAGAGATCATAAAACTAATCCATATGAATTGAGATCGTTTTAAATGAAAATCGCTTTGAATGATGAACAGATTGAATTTAGGCTTTTATTCACATATAAACATTGATCAGTGAACATAAACAGAATCATCCTAACCTGCTTGACATGCGAAAACAAACCTCTTGCAGAAGCTCAACTGTGAGAATGAACCTCATTGGTTCTCGCACGTCAAGCGAACATGCTTGAGCTTCTGTTTACCAAACTGATGTGTGTTGATGAATGTTTATATGTGAATAAAAGCCTAAATTCAATCTGTTCATAGTATAAAGCAATCATGTCTCTTCAGAAATTTTTGACTAAACCACTTAATTCATATGGATTAGTTTTACGATCTCTTTATGAACTTTTTGAAGCGTCAAAGTGTCAGTTGCGTAGCTGTCAATGGAGGGACAGAAAGCTCTCAGATATCATTAAAAAGATCTTCATTTGTGTTCCGAAAATGAACGAAAGTCTTACAGGTTTGGAACGACATGAGGGTGAGTAATTATTTGACATTTATGGGTGAACTATCCCTTTAAAACTTGAAAAAAGTTAATCTACAAACTAAATTAGTAATAAATGTTTTACCCATTTCATCAGGGCCTCTTTAATAGTTGTTGCTTTTGCCTAAAAACACACATAACAACTGATTAGTCACTCACAGCAAGGTAAGGGGAAGTTTATCGTCATTGTCATGGCAAACACATAGTTAATAGCTGGAAACAAAAACAATAACAAAATGTAGGGAAAACAATTCTGGATCTCTACAAGTACGTCAACGTTATGCAACTGAATGTTATTAAATTCACCAACTCACTAATGAATAACGTCACAGATGCTAACTTACAAAAAGCTCCCTATACTAGACAGTACATTGACATCATCTGTAGTCTGTCACAATTTGTGCACCTTAACCTAATATTGATACTAAGTTTTTAATACCTAAC